CCACTCCCCCTGCTTGTGTTCCTGCTCTCGCTCTCTCTCTGTCAAACAAATAAATAAAATCTTAAAAAAATAAATAAAATCTTAAAAAAAATTTTAGGTAACATTCAGGGGTGCCTGCGTGGCTCAGTTGGTTGAGCGTCTGCCTTTGCCTCAGGTCGTGATCCCAGTGTCCTGGGATCCAACCCCGCGTCGAGCTATTTATTAATTTATAATAAATAAATTATTTATTATAAATAAATAATCTTAAAAAAAAAGATGCTATGGGACATGTGGCTGGCTCAGTCGGTGGAGCATGTGACTCTTGATCTTGGGGTTCTGAGCTCAAGCCCCACAATGGGCATGAAGCCTACTTAAAAAAAATTAAAAGTTAGATGTGATGAAGTCCTGCCCACTCCATTCTTCTGTCACCGAATCCCCCTCCCTGGAGGTGTTGCCTGTGCCCAGTCTCTTATGTCTCCCTCCGGAAATATTGTCTGCATATACAAGCAGATACATATATTCTTCCCCACGCCTTTTTTAAGATTTTATTTATTTATTTGACAGAGAGAGACACAGCGAGAGAGGGAACACAAGCAGGGGGAGTGGGGGAGGGAGAAGCAGGCTTCCCACCAAGCAGGGAGCCCGATGTGGGACTCGATCCCAGGACCCTGGGATCATGACCTGAGCCGAAGGCAGACGCTTAACAACGGAGCCACCCAGGCGCCCTCTTTCCCACACCTTTAAGACAAGTTTTATTTTGAAATAATTTTAGATTTATGGAAGAATTACCTCATTTTACACAATTTTACATTTTACACATCTCGCTCTACTATATCCTGCAGTGCACAAAGAGCTGCCTCAGTCTTTTACATCTGTGGAGCATTCCACTCAGTGGTGGGACCATTATTTATTCATCCGAAAGCCCCCTGTGGATGGACATGGGTTTGCTTCCAGTCTTTTGCTGTTTCTAACAAGCCTGTGATGAACAGTCACAGATACTTGTATGACAGCAATACGTAGCTCCTGGTTATTGTGTCAAGGAGGCCATCGAGGATTTTTAGACCTTGTAGCTTGGCAAGATCAGGACCTGGAGCTGGAGAACTTGGTGGGCCAAGAGGGAATACAATAAAGAACAAGAAAGGAAGAGACGCTAATGTTGGTTGAACTAGAACACTTACATGTGCTATATCCTTAACTGCCAGAAGCAACTCTGAAATAGAGAATACTTTTTGCTGATGGGAGAAGGGAGGCTCAGAGAGGTTAAGTGATTTATCCAAGCTCACACAGCAAAACATGGCAGGGCTTTGGCACCAAATATTATAGGATTTCCTTTCTACTACCCACTTGAGTATAGTTAAAGCAATGGGGGCACCTGGCTGGCTCAGTCTGTGGAGCATGCAACTTGATGTTGGGGTTCTGAGTTCGAGCTCCACATTGGGTGTGATTATTTAAAGATAAAAATCTTTAAAAAACAAACAAAAAACAATGAAGGTGAATGTGTACATGTTCACATATTTCCCAGTTGTTCAAATGAGGAAATAAAAGGAGAGTCAGGGGAAGAGGTTTGAGTCTTTAAAAAGAGGCATTTGTGTAACATTTAAAATGTCTATTTCGGGACACCTGGCTGGCTCAGTTGGTAGCGTATGGGGCTGATCTCAGGGTTATGAGTTCAAGTCCCACCTTGGGCATGGAGCCTACTTTAAAAAAAAAAAGTTTATTTCAATTATTTTAATTTAATTTTTTAAAAAGATTTATTTATTTTAGAGAGAGAGGGAGAGCACTGGGTGGGGAGAGGCAGAGGGAGAGGGACAGAGAGAATCTCAAGCAGACTCCCCTCTGAGTGTCCTGAGTGCGGGGCTCAATCTCACCACCCTGAGATCATGACCTGAGCCGAAATCAAGAGTTGGACATTCAGCTGACTGAGCCACCTAAACACTCCTCAATTATTTTAATTTTAAAAGCAATGCTTAACCATTACAGATCATTTTGGAAATATGGAAAAGTTAAAAAAAGACAAAAGTAAATTCCCATATATTCCTCCGGCTCAGGGAACGTTGCTAATAACATTGTGGCATGTTTCCTTCCAGTCTTTTTTTTTTTAATCCATTTTTACAAAGCTGAGGTCCTCCTGTGTATCATAGTTGGAAAGAGGTACATTTTGAATAGGTAGAAGGAGGTACGATGTTACTCAGCAACTGTTTTAGGGAATTTGTTAACTTTAAGATAGTCCAAGCTAAAGGTAGAACCTTCCAGAAATTACCTTCCCTCACAAATAATTAAGGGCTGTTCTAGAATCAGTCAGCAATCATGTATGGAGCACATTACTATATGCCAAGTACCATGCAAGGTGCTGGGGACTCTGCAGAAGACAAATCAAACACAGTCCCTCCCTCACAAGGCCCACGGTCTAGTGGAGGAAAGAGATAATTAGAATAGAATAAGTAATTGCGAGTAATCGAGTCATTAACCCAGGACTGTAAACCACTGCAGAGCAGGTTGGAGCTCCTTGGCAATGAAAATATTGCCCTAACCTCGTCTGGTGGGTAAGAAGCCTCCACAGAGGTGCTCACTGAGACTGGAAGGCTGAGGAGTCGGCTGCCACGTGAGGAGCAAGGAAGAGCAGTCCGGGCTGAGGGAACAGCCTGCCCAGAGGCAGGGGAGAAGCTGGTGGGTCAGAGGAACTAGGGGAAGGCCATGGGGCTGGAGCAGGAGAAGAGGGGCGCTGGAGGTAGGAGAAGTAAGGGGCCAAATCCTGCAGCACTTTCAAGGCTGTGGGAGGAACCTGGATTTTATTCTGAGTATTGGAAAGGTATTGGCCGCTTTTAAGAGGGGATGTGATATGATTTAAGTGTTAAAAAAGATGGGTCTGACTGCAACGGGAAGGAAGGTCAAGGTAGAACCGAGGGAGCAACTCCACACCGGTGGGGTTGGGTGGGGTCGGTGGAGGCCTTTGACACACATTGTCCCCTTTCATTGAAATTATAACCAGCCCTCTAGCCTGACGTCCCCTTTTGCTGTTAGGCAAACCGAGGCTCAGAGAAGTGAAGTAGCAAGCCTGAGGCCCCACTCCCACGAAGGTGTCAGAGCTGGGGTTTGAACCTAGATCTAACTTGGAAGCCAGCATTATCTTCCCTTCCAGGGTGAGGTTCAGATTAGGGCTGGAGGAGGGTGGGAAAAGGCGTCAGAGAGCCCAGAAAGAAACTGTGAGGCAGTGATGCCGTAATAACTGTTTCCTTTCATTTCTACAGCTATGGAGCCAAAATCCGGGCCCCTCACGCGCTCGTCATGACCTTTCTCTTCCGGAGTGGCAGGTACCCATCCCCTCTGCACACCCTTCAGACTGGGGGAGAGTATGGTCAGCCCTCAGTGCCAGGACGCTTGCACTAGCTTCCTAGCTAGGTCTAGCCGGCCCCCCTGCCACCACCATCTCCTCAAGTACGACTCTGATCCTGTTATTCCTGCTCAAAAACTCCCCGGGCTGCCACCGTCCTCCAAAGAAGCCCAGCTTCCTTCCGTAAAAGGCCCTCTGCAACTAGTCGTGTCGAGCCCTGGGTGATGTATGGAGCTGTTGAGTCACTGTCTTGTACACCTGAAACTAATATAACAGCATGTGTTCACTATACTGGGATTAAAATAAATTAAACACAAAACCCCAAAGGCCCTCTGCTGCCTGGGCTCAGCTGCGTCCCCACACTCCTCCCTTACGTCCACCCGGGAGTGCCTGGGCGCACAGGACTCCCTGCCACGCCTCATGTTGTTCCAGCACCGCACATTTGCTCATGCGGTAACCCCTGCCAGGCGCACCCTTTTCTCTTCACCCCACCTTTATTCCCTTCCTGGCAGCCCATACCGGTCATGTGAGGATCACTTCCTTGGGAAAACTGTCCGTGACCTCCTTCGCTCACTCAGACTGCTTGGTCTCCCTCCATCCCCCATAGCTTTCCCCTCATGGCACTTCTCAGAAACCACTCTGTGGCCTGGTTTTTAACGTAGGTAACCTCACCTGGCGCTTGTAAGAAGCACACATGGACAGCCTACTGGCCAAATCCAGCTCGCAAGAGTTTCTCTTTTTGTATTTTTATTTAGGATTGCTTTTTTTTTTATTTTTATTTTT